GCTTTCTTCAACCCCTCAAAAGATGTATTTCCTTGCTGTAGGTTGAAGATGCTCTGGAGAGGTCGTGAGAGCTCATCTGGTGCAGCCCCTCCCTTTCCATCAGCCTCAACCAGATGACTCTTGATGCTGCACACATAGTGTTTCATGTTCTTTCACTCTGTACCAGTTGCTGGGGCCATGTTGTAGCACCTTGTACTGTTTCCTTGGTTCTAAGGGTATTTGGCTGGGAGTTAAATTCTGTTAAGAATATTAATTTGTAATAGATATTTATTATAACCACCCATGTACTAGGCATACTTTTCTAGCACAAAAGAATGTGTCAATTATTTATTTGAGACTATATGATACTAAGGGACTATTTCATAACATAAAATGTGATAGTTTATACTATTCTCACTACTATAGGTGAGTTTCTGTGACATGCACCAGGCAGTCCAGCAATGCCCACATGCACACTGGGCTGCTCAGTCCTGCACGCTGGCTGCCCTGCAGTGACAATCGGCAGTGAAAGCTGGGAGGTCCTGGAAAGCTGGTGCTGCTGGGTGCACATCCTCCTGATTCAGGTTCTGGGTCAATGCTGCCTCCACTGCACTCAGAGAAGTCTCTCTGCATATCCAGACCTGTGATGGAAGGAGAATAAACTCGCACAAGTTTCCTCTGACTCCACATGGGCACTTTTACACAAGTGCACTAACACACACACACACACACACACACGGAGAAGACCGAGACAGAGAGAGACAGACACACACACACACACACACACAGAGAGAGAGAGAGAGAGAGAGAGAGAGAGAGAGAGAGAGTGACTGTTATTCTTTGCTGCAGCTTCAGACGATGAAACATGATTCACCAAACTCAACAAACTCACATAGAGTTTATTTGGGAAAGGGGTCAAAGGAAGGGGAACAGAAATGGAAAGAAGAACAGGCAAGGGGCACTTGCTTATATAGGGAACGGGAGCAGTTTAGAACCAGTCTCAACAGTTGGGGCCATTGAAACTGGAGTCATGGAGCTTCCATTGGTCCAGCTCTGCACGGCCCCAGTTCCACATGATTTCTGCATGCAGAATCCTTATGCATCCCTCTAACCCATGCATGACAAAGCCATGCTTGTTTCTGCATGCAGAATCCTTATGCAGCCACCTAATGCATGTACAATGCAGCCATGCAACCTTTGACAGCTGTCAGGGAGGAGCGGTTACCTATCAAAGATGGAACCCCAGGCCAAGGCAAGGTAGCTCCTCGTAGAGAGATCCTGGTGTGGGGAGAGAGCCTGAGGATTAGAGGCCCCACAACCAGAAAAGTTTCCCTAAGGAGAAGGCCCAGGCCCAGGAGAGGGCTGGTTAGGAGTAACAGGCAGGTGCTGAGGAGAAACCAGGGGTGGGAGAAGGAGAGGAGTCGAGCACAGGAACAGGGCCAGGTTGCTCAGGATCCAGGGAGAGGGAGAAGCCAGGATATCAACAGTAACTATCAATAAAAAGTAAAATAAAATAAGGATCCTAAAATATGGAAAGTATAACATGTAAAATTCACTGTTGAAAATAATTTTTTTGAAGCAGGGTCTCACTGTATAGAGCAGGCTGGCCTGGAACTCACAGAGATGCACCTGCCTCTGCCTCCCCAGCATCAGGCTTGAGTGTGTGCCACCACCTCTGTCTGATCCTTGGATTTTAAGCTGTAATGGTATGTTATTAAAGTATTAGAGCTCTAAAATTGGCTATTTCACACATATTAATTTGTAAACTATAGTGCTTTTAAGTAGACTGGCAATATTCAAATCGCTCAGGAATCACTAAAGGAAACCTCTAACAACTAATTATAGGAAACAGAAATTGAACACTAGTTGTTTAGTAGAAGTCACGGGTTGCTGGGCATTGACGCATGTCTTTAATCCCAGCACTCAGGAGGCAAAGGCAGGCAGATCTCTGTGAGTTCGAAGCCAGTTTAATCTACAGAGCAAGTTCCAAAGCAATACAGAGAAACCCTGTCTCAAAAAAAAAAAAAGACAAAAAAAGAAGGAGGAGAAGGAGAAGGAGGCGGAGGAGGAGTGGGAGGAGAAAGAGGAGGAGTGGGAGGAGAAAGAGGAGGAGGTGAAAGAGGAGGAGGAGGAGGAGGAGGAGGAGGAGGAGGAGAAGAGG